CTTCCGTCAGTCAGTCCTTCCGTCAGTCAGTCCTTCCGTCAGTCAGTTTGTGAGTCAGTCAGTCCGTAAGTCCATCAGTCAGTCCTTCCATCAGTCAGTCAATCCGTTAGTCAGTCCATCCGTCAGTCAGTCAGTCCGTGAGTCAGTCAGTCAGTCCGTGAGTCAGTCAGTCCGTCAGTCCGTGAGTCAGTCAGTCAGTCCGTGAGTCAGTCAGTCAGTCCATCATCTTCCACTTGTTCCACAGTCAGATCACAGGGGCAGCAGCTTGAGCAGAGAGGCCCAGACATCTCTTTCCACAGCCACCTCTTCCAGCTTTTCTGGGAGGACCCCAAGGCGTTCCCAGACCAACGGACAGACATAGTCTCTCCAGTATCAGTGTGTCCTGGGTCTTCCCTGGGGTCTCCTCCCAGTAAGACATGCCCAAAGCACCTCCCTAGGGAGGCGCCCAGGGAGCATCCTTACCAGATGCCCGAACAACCTCAATTGGCTCCTCTCAATGTGGAGGAGCAGCAGTTCTACTCTGAGTCTCCCCCAGATAACTGAACCGGCTGACCTAGTTTACTGTAATTTACTGAATACTATTGTAATAAAGATTTATGTAGAAATGTACTTCAAATCTATGTTTATTTGTTGTTGTTTACTAAATGACAAAATAATAATCAGTTCTGTTTGTTTACTTTTTACATGGAAATGTCAGTTATTGATTTCACACATGTACAGCTTTGTTGAGTTTTAAATAATGATGTTTTTGTTCTGATGCGCACGTTTGTTTCATAGGATAAGGTGGCAAACACATGGTGTAGCCTGAACACCCTGATAAAGATCAGATCTATTCTGTCAGGCGACGCTCAGCTCTACCTCAGGTAATCTCTTCATCTGTTCAAACTTCTTGAATTTTATTCTCCCCTCTTTTTGATCAACCCTTTTCTGTGCCATCTTCTGTTTTCACTCCCTCTCTCCTTGTTCTTGTTTTCCATTTAAGCCAAACTTGCCCTTGGGAAAAACTGTAATTCATTGAATCAAATGAGATAATCTCTCTTGACAATGTCCCATGATAAAGGTCTGAGCATGAAATCATATTACCTTTTTTAAAAGCTAAT